TCACGTCGCTCTCAACGTATGCACGAGATTCTCACATTGCCGTATATACATACCTACACAGCATAAGCAAAAGCGTACCATCCGTGGCCATCCGTGAGTTTATCAGGCGAATCTAATTTTCTGTGAAATATAACAATTCGATGAAATGGAAAAGCGCGCACGTTGACTCTTATTATTGCAGGTCCATCTCTATCTATCTCTCGACTCCCTTTGTGAGAAGCGACGTTCCTCCTTCGCTCATTTCAGTTTGTGAGATCTTACATGCTCCCGCCGAGCCAAGCCAAACGACGCGACGTGTAGTATCTGACAACGACGATGCGATATACCATATAACAACGAGCGACAACGGGCGAGTCGAGTCGTTCGACGAGGCTGTCCCTATCGATTTCCACCTGCGTTTGACTCACGCGCGTCGCCTGCTCTCTCCTCTGCCCTATAACGCGCCAATTATTCTCGAGCGTTCGTGGGAAGGGCGTAATAATTCCGTAATAACTTCCGGAACATCGCCCGAGGAACAACGTGCGCGATGGCGAACGGCTGCAAAACTGACAAACGAGATGCCGCGAATGATTCCAATTACTTTTCGGAGAACAATATACCCCGACAATTTGTATCCGATTTTAATATCTCGTTGTACAATTTCCGTTGCCAATATTCCACGTCTCTATATATAGGTATATATCGATCAAATGCTTCGCATTTAAATCCCTCCGTCGAATCATTTAAATTACATGTTGCGTGTTCATTTAATTATTTTCTTTTTTATATATCAGGAGACTCTTTACAATTACGCCGCGCATTTCATATTTGTTCGACGATATATGTGACGCGAGTCTGTGTAAATATGTGTGAATGCGATGATAGCGTTCTATTTTTGAAAGCAAGTCACGTCGAATAAAAAGAAAATATCCGTCACTAAGATTGTGTGACAAACATCAAAAGATAATGACATTAGTTCTTTAATTAATTAATATATATATTTTCTAATAATTAATAAATAGAAAATGTTGCAGAAATATAGAAAACATGTAGAAACAAATGTTGATTTTTGTAATCAATGCACTTCGCCGAACGGATTTGCTTTCTTCGTGTCGGAAATGCTCTCTCCACAGCTCTGACTTTATTTGTCTTTCATCTTATGAGACATTCCAATATATTTTTCTTTGGTAACTTTTTCCGACGCGTGTGAGCATCACTCCGAAGAGCTTTACTCCGACATTTTTTTGAATTAAAACAGCGAAGATAAAGAAGAAGAATGTTCGTACGCGCTATTTTTCATGTTGCTCGTGACAGCGTCGCATGCCATCACTTATGTTTGACGCGTATAAATAACGAGGCGACCAATGCACCCCGAATATTGAATTAATTAAAATGGCATTTTAAAATTTATCGTCGCGTTAATGCAATATTGCAGTTTGGAATTTCGGTCGCGCGGTAATTTGCGCCTAGACGTAACTACATCTTCTTCTAGGAAGCAAAAGGAACTATTTCTAATAAGATCCGACCGCGACGGTACGTACTGTAAATTAATTAATTAAATTCTTGAAATTCTGGAAATGGTCAAACGTCGTACGCGAGAGTGGATTACATTCTTTCGTGCGACGCCATTTTTTAAGTTTCCTTCTAGAAAATCAAGAGAATCAAGAGATTCTTAAGTTTACAAAATTAAATCTATAATATTATAAAATGGTTGAATATCTCATTAATAAACTTAGGAAAAGTATCAAAAATTTACGATTACATTTAAAAATACGCCTATTGAATTACGCAATTTAAAATTTCAAAAATATACATTTTAATACAATAAAACTATGTGAACCGATGGCTATTAAATAATAAAATTTATTATATCGTAAACTTTTATCGAAAGAGCATTTATGCGAATCACAGTGAATTGCCATATTATTATACCTGTTTGAAACATAGTTAATAATTAATACTCTATGTCACGTTATCCAACTTTGATGTACGTGTATGTAGTGGTAAATGAAGTTGAACAAGCAATAGGTTCATTAAACGGTTCATTAAACTCTATTTGATTGTATTGCTTCGTGTTTGCGTCGCATGTTAAATCAGCGTAACGTTGCGGCGGGCAAACCAGTGCAACTTGCATTAAGTTATGACAGGCCGCGCTGACATTCGTCTGCTGAAATGACAACGGTACTTTGGCTGCTTTCCCCGAGATCCTTCCCTATTACTCGTATACCTTTTTCGTGAACAAGAGTTTTTCCATTTCATCGTCGACACCGCGACACGTAAATCCGTGGCGTTGCTATCCTTCGTGGGAAAAACCTCGCGTTAATATGCGCGCGGGCAAAGTTATTGTGCAAACAAAGAAAACAAACTTTGTAACAACGTTAGCTGCGAACCGTCAGAAGAGTTTCGCGCGTCTGCTACATTGTAAAGTTGCCGCGTTGCGTAAGAAACCGCGAATACAGTTGCGAAAACATCGGATTAATTAAACGACGCTTTAAACTTGTAATCGGCATTAATTCTCTTGCCACGAATTGCATTCTTCTGAAAATGAGATTACGCCGCGGAATTTTATAAAGGACGAGAAGGATGCTTTCCCTAGTTTCTCTAGAGTTAATCTGAGTTAGTCTGTCTGCTACGCGTGTGTATGTGTGTGTGTGTGTGTGTGTGTGCGTGTGTGTATGTTGAGAATTGCTCTTTATTATCTTCTACACAATCTCATTACGGAGACATCTGTTTTACTTAATAGCTTATCGATATCCGCAAAGCTATTGAGTCGTCTAAATTCAAAGTGCTATAACTTTAGCATCGAGAATTCGGGCTATAATCAACACACCGCATCAGTTTATATTCACAGATTATTGAAATTTACGATGTTTTAAAACTAATCTTACATAACTTTCCGAATAAGTGATTCAATTTATGTATAAAGTTACACGTGTTACTAATTTACCGCTTGTAAATTGCACGATATAACATATTCGCATACAAAATATTTCAATGTTTAAATGCAATTTATTTAATATTAAATTTATAATTTAATTGTGCCTTTTAAATTTATACCAATGTGTTATTTCACTAAGAAACAAATTACATTTAAAATCGGTTAAAATTATTTTAATTAGAGAGAAAGAGAGAGAAAGAGAGGATGGAGAGAAAGAGAAAGGGAGAAGTAGATATTATATATTAAAATATTTTTCAGAAAATGTAATTAATGTAACACATATTAATTATTAAATATTATTATTATGTATATTATAATATTACTGATAATATTATTATTATATATATTATTATTACACAATGATAATATTATTATTATTCTTATTATATTTTATAGTATAAAATATATTATTATTACTTTTATATTACTATCATATTATTATTTTATACTATAACATCATATTATTTTTCACATTTTAATTTTTTTCTTCTTTATAAAACATTGTTGCATTTTTATATTTTTGTGATTTGTAGAAATAATAAAAATATAATTGTTGTAAGAAATATTTAAAAATATGTGTCAGGTAAATAATTATGTAGATCTAGAAAATATAATGTAAAGAGGAATAAAATATGCAGAAAGAGAAAATAAACAATATACATATATGTATGTATATGTATATCGTTTCATCTCTGCATTAGCAAAAGTCGTAACTTCACATCTTATGTAACTTAGTGGAATTGCTTAATTTTCTGTAAACTTTTTCTGCGTCACTACTCTTCATTGCACGTGTATCTCTTGCCTATAAATCTAAAACTATTTGCTCAGTGGTATCATCGATTCTGAGAAAAGTTGTCATTGTATTATCAAGATTTGTGAAAAGAAGCGTTGAAGTTGAAAATTCTTTAGACCAACGAAATCTTGTTTATTTTTGCTTTTATCTTGTTGCGTCGAAATTAGATGACACTAATGCTTTTACTTTGTACAATTGTAAGAACATTCCTCCAGTTCGTCCTGCATACCTAATTAAGGCGCAAATAAGCGTAACGCTGTTTTGTCTCTCGAGGTCAACTAAAAAAGGAACATGCAACGGCGCGCGTTGAAGCAATCTAATGATTGAGTTTTCTTATTCAAAGAGTTTATAACAATTTTAATATTATTGCCACGCACACACAATGTGTACCTAAATTGTTTCATTCTTTATATGCGACATCAGCTGCTTTCAAGAAAAAATCTAAACGATAAAAGTGCAACACAATAATGTCAATTTAGTATTGCATACAGAATAGCTTTGAGAATAAACATTATTCTTATTCGTGAAAAAAACATCAGTCATAATGGACACTTTACTAAAATTTTTATAAGATGATGGAAGATAAAATAATAATTTATGACCATCTAACGTTTAAATAAATAATCAGCAACAGAAAACGAAGAATTGTTCAATTGTATTTAATTTACTCTGTCGCTATTTTTCTATTGTCGCCTTTATTACTGTATGAGACGTTTTATGGTATATATTAAATTAAATATTATTAAGTTACACATGATATTTTCAATCAATTTCGCTGGTTAGTACGTATTAAATTCGCATCATTTATGTTGTGAGAGAAAATCGATTTTCTCTATGATAATACTGATCACTACAAAATCGGATCTAACTAATGGATATAATCTGAGTTTCGCAGTGATAGTTATAGAGAAAGCTCGTTTGTGCTTATTATAGAATATTGGTGACCATATGGTTACAGTCTATCTGAAAACAATTAATCCATCGATTGGTGCTTGTGATATTACTAATACTTTAAATAAATTATCTTTTTCTCATTGCGGGTATATTTATGCCGCAATGATAAATCCATAAAAAGCTGCAACTAAATTTTCAGAGTAAATATACATTTTTGTGTGTTTATTCTTCTAGAAAAAATAGAAATTTGTGTGCTTATTCATATTAACTTTTGAAAAAGTAACAAATTTTATTTGCTTAATTTATGGAGAAATCAATAATGGAATGTAATTGCTTATTTGTATATCAAATTGTCACACGTTAATCAATGGGTTAAACTTGCTAATTAAGCCTTACCGTGCCTTCTCCTAAATTGTGGACAACACAAGGCATCAGGGCTGTGGATCCTGATTGCGCCGAAATTGATGTTGTATTTTCCGTGCCGAAGGTCATTGGCAAAGTTGGTGGCAAATCGACGTCCAACGGTCTCCCAGTTGTGCCATCCAACGAATTTATGTTAACATTTATATTAACATCGACTATTTCCGCCGTTACTGCCGCAGGATATTCTGAAACGAATTAATTATTAATTATATTACAACCAATCAAATTTTCGATCATTTTTGAATATGTAAATTTACAGACACGAAACTTGTAAGTGAAAAAAATAAATAAAAAATTAATTGAAAAATAAGTAAAAACACTACAGTTAATAATGTTGAATAATTGTGAAAATATATTATGTCTGAAAATACTCCATTCATATAAACAAGACAAATTTTAACTTAATTGAAATAAATGTCATTGCAATTTGGATAAATTATAATTATTAATTTGTGAAATAATTAATTCAATAATTACAACTATTGATAAAATGTATGGTTACATTAACATGACATTCGTACAATTAACATGATATTTGCCTGAACGGTTGTCAATGTTCATTCAAGCAATTTTCGTTGATATAACAATGATGTAATTTCTACTGTGACTGTTACTGTATTTTAGTTCTCCTATTAAATTTTAAATAATAGTATATTTGTCTCATGCAGGTCAAGGATTAATTGTTAACAATTAGTATTATACCGAAATATATATTCTACGAATATTATCCGTTAAGTTTAAGTAATTGACGGCAACGTATCTATCATATACACGAAATTTTACATGAAATATAACGAGCCTAGTCTCTTATCGCACGGCTGCTAAAACTGGCCGAGTTTTCGGTGCCGGAGGTCATCGACTATCCGATGGTTACCGCCGTTAGATGCGCCGAGAAATTGGCATTAAATCACGATGGCTTTTACGAGGTCGAACTTCGTTATAATATGAGCTCATCTGCGCAAGTATGAGTCAAACTTTTAGTTTTATATCCTTCTAGTTTTTCGACTTTAACGCAGCATCTAATCATAACACATTTCATTGAATGCCAATAATTTTCATATCAGTATAGCGCATAAATAAATTTGTAATCAAAATATTTATCTGTAATGTTGAATCTTATTATAAAGCAATTTCAAACTATAAATATATAAAATTCTATTTTGTAGAAACACGCAGAGGAATATTACAAATTTATCATTTTTCTTCGTCGAAACAACAATGTATTAATTGTTGCAACATAACATTATTTATAATACTTTGAGTTTTAATCGCATTATATTCATCCAACAAAAAAGATTTTATTAATGTATTTTTGAAAAATAATTATATGTGTGTGTATTTTATATATATATTGATTTTTTTCATAAAATATGCAGTTACAAACATAACTAGTTAAGGTTAACTAGTAGGTACTTAATTACATTATACATACTTGACAAAAATATCTAATTACTATGTTATATTTTTTTCAGCTTTTTAGTGGTTAAAAATGTTTGTTTTTAGCTGTAATTATTCAAAAAGATAAAATATTCTTATATGTTTCATAATTATGAGGCATATTGTAAATGTTATACCTGTAATTATAGTTAAACACATTTCATGTCATTTTAAAGCTCGCGTGTGTATGCAATAAATTAATTTTTATATCATTTCAGGAAAAAAGTTACGATATAATATTTATGTAATGCGTACTACATTTGCATATTTTATGAAATCCAATATTATATGTATGTGATATCTATATGTATACGCGGTATCTATATAGCGAACGCATTATCGCGCAGTTAAAACATACACGAAAAATCGTTACATATTTTTGCATTTTAATCATTTGAACCGGAAATAAGCGATGTGTAGGTGCAAAAAATTTTTCTTCTATATTTTATTTCATATCCATGTCTATCGATCTTGACGTGCAAGCGTTTCAATACATTGAGGATGCTTGCAAGACTGACATGGCTAAAAAGTACTTTCCGCCATATGCATCACTTTTCATCCATGAAAATTTACGGAATATTGCCGGTCATGCGCGAGGCTACGTTACAATGGATGCGTCATCTCTTGTTGGAGTAATTTTATTTTTCCCGATGCAAGATGGTTAGAGAGAAATTGAACGCAGGAAGGTGGTTATCCGTCCGTGCCACGCGGATTCCCGCAAGATCGTCATTTATTTTTGCTCCCGTGAAGAAGATACCGAGGAAAAAATCTATATCCCACGCGTACAAATGTTTGTGCAGGGACGATCGTGGCGCGAGGGTGGTTAAAGTCCAGCGGAAAGCCTCTTAACGAGAATCCCTTCGGCGTGGCGCCGGAGCTTTGAGCGGGCAACCGTTAAACCTCGTTCGACCTCGTAACGACTGCTTTGATTTAACGCCTATTTTTCAAACCCGGTGCTTACCGCGGGCTTTAGTGGTATGGCATGACCGGCGGGGGTGAATTTGTTAGAAGATGCTTACCAGGAAGTCCTCCGGTCGACGACCTTTGTTGACAAGCTACGCCATTAACGATCACGCGCGCGTTGATGGTCTTGCCATTCCACTCGAATAAAACTTCAAGAAATTGATAACTTCAAAAAGTCGAAACGTTACGAAATTTGTAAAAAGGATGATATCAAATGTAAGAAGTTTATGTATGGGAGCTGATGTCTGGAATTGTGCCAACTTTCAATATAAACTGTACAAAAAGTACGAAAAAGAAATTCACGTAAAATATTGAAAGAGCGCGAAATAAATCGAAAACTGTAACACCTTAATTCAAGTTCCCTGCCTTCCTTTTCTGCTTAAATCGATACAAGTGCAAGGATATATTTTGAAATAAAAAATTTAATTTTTTTTCCACATCTTTTTCAATACCGATCAATAACGCTAGTAGCTAAATTTCAACAATAGAACCCCCTAGAGTCTCCTAATTACCATGTGAAATTCAAGTCGAAATATCGAGTGTCAAAGTTTGAAACTATACGGGCAAAGCACTAATCACCATTGATTAATTGTTCAAGAATTTACTTGGTTAAGTACTGTGATCGTTTCTCAAGGATACGTGATTACGAATTTATGAAATGTATAATTAATTATACATAAATGTAAGACTAGGTGCGCGCATTTTAACACTACTGAAGGCTCTTGTTCCGGTTACATAGGAATGTCTGAGAATATTGTTCGCGTTTCGTGACGATGAAATTTCCGTATGCGATTTCCTACAAACGTTACCATTCGCCGGAGGCACGAGCAACGTGCGCGATATACATTTGAGATATTAGCTTTGTGCTCATGTCCTTTGATCTGAGTTGCTAGTCCTTCTTGACCCGTTTTTCATCCACGATGAAGGCGTATTCAGTGACCTAAAACCCGCTTGGTTGCCCGAAAACATTTTATGAAATTTACGTTAAGAAAGGTACCACTCGCTTGCGCAATCTCGTCTGTCATTAAAACTGATAAAGTTTTTTATTTTTTTATGACGGAAGATAGGAATAAATGAGGACGCTATTATCGACATTGAAAAATCGAGTTTCTTATAAGTAAGTGTGACAGTCAACTCATAAAAGACGGTCGATAATGTTAGAAAAATATTTAAGTAACGCAATTTCTTTTCTTGTTTTTTATCATAGTAAAGTAGTTCAATTATATTACACGAATATTACAGATTTGCTCATAAATTTTCGAAAATTATATGTGATGTACATCGTACACACATAATATGCTTAATATACTGGTCCATCTTTTCCATCTTGGAAGAGATTATAATATCTGGGATTTTCTAAAGATCTTATTCATAAAATCACAATGTAGTAAGTATGCATATATACATGTCAAGTTATAAGTTATAATATTTCATAATTGCAAAATTTAAAAGCTATAAGAATATGTTTTTAAATGGTAAAATAATTCCCTTTAATACTTATATATTTGCATTAATTAATATATTAATGGTTGCTTGATAATTTACATTCTTTATAAAGTCAAATTTCGAGAGATATACTTACATTTTATATATACATACATATACATATATATACATATATATTTAAAAAATATGATAAAAGTGTTATGATATTAATTCGCTATGCATTATTTATTGAATGTATCACGTGTTTGCATATATTACCCAAGTATCCGAAGTTATCAAAAATATATATAATATTAAAATATAATATATGTATAATAAATAATATTTTATACCAGATTAATGAAAAATAGAAATGTCCGAATTTGGGTTAATAAAAAATAAGAATGTAAATAAAAAACAAACCATTCGATAACAAAAATGTAAAATATTAAAATCCATTGTTAAACTCTTAATTAAAATCCACATTTTTAGAACTGTGTTCATAAAAAACTGAGAATTTTGTATATTTAGTGTATATATAGTTTAATACATGTTTGAAAAAATTCAATGGATCACTATTTCATATTTTATTATAGTTATTTTTTATATCATATTTATTATGTACATATTACATAATAAATATATAAATATTATATATATTTGTGTGTGTGTCATATTAATAATAAAATTCTAATATCTTGATATGACAGAATATTTTTGTATTCTAAAATATATATTTATGTTTTGCATAAAGTAAAATTCACTCAAAGAAACATTCTAGCGAAAATTTAACGACACTGATATCTATTTCTCGTATAAAATCGATAGCAAAATAAATATATGTGAAAGATAAAAACGACACTTGAAAGAGATGTAAGACATGAATAATATTATTAAACGAGTCGAGCAATACATCAACGATTCCTCTTCTCAATGATATACAGGTAAGCTGTATAAGTGTATGTTGAAAGCTTGAACTTAAAAAGATTTATCTGTGTGTACTTACGAAATAGAAAAATAAAATATACTTTAAATTATCAAAATAAAAAAATGGAAGATTAAAATAAAGTAAATAATAAATATTTTTTTTATCATAACAAATTTAATAATGTCTCAGACAAACACACACGGATTATATACATGGAGATAAAGAGAGCGCAAGAATATTTTTTTTAAATGTTATGTTATAAGATTATTTTTGTGTATTTTTCATGGAAAAATTTATATCAAAAATATATTTGCAATACGATAATTTTTTATAAATGTACATGGTGAAACAAATAAAATAATTTTTATTAAAAATATATACTTTTGAGATAAATGTAAAGCTTAATTAATAAAGTTTCTACACCAAGTTCCT